TTCAACATTCCTAGATACATTGTATCTAGGGAGGTCCACACTGGTTGGGTCAAGACCCGAGGCTAAATCCAACTCGATTTGGATTTTATTTTGGGCCACAATTTTGTAAAATAAATTACCAAGAAAAAGATTATAGTGGTTGGGCCCAACGCCCAATCTTAACACCGGTCAAAACCTTCCAAGGCCGTTCAAGTCTAGCCCACAGTCCAATTGTCAAGTACCAAGGATCAAGGTCCAAGATCCAATATCCAAGCCAATGCCCAAGCTCGTGCCCGTGCCCGTGCACGTGCCGAGCCGAGCCGGCAGCTAGCGCATGCACACGCATTGTTAGAAAATAAGCCGCTTAGAAATTAGGTTTGACTGTAATTTGACTAGTTTTTTTATAGTTAATATTTAACTCTAAGGGAATTAAATTGTGTAGAAAAAATCTACTTTCTAAGTAGATAGTCGTGGTATATTTATTTTTTCAAATTAATTTTCGATATGTGAAAAATAAATAATTAAATTTAGCCATTAATGGGATGAAATTTATATTCAAAATTTTAAATTGAAGCCTAAGATATTTAGATAACGGAATCAATAAACTTAATATTTTGGGCCCAAAATTGGTAGTTTAAGATTTTTCGAATCTTGAATTTGTACAATTTTATCTTTCGTACCAGAATAGATAGTTGATCTATCTTTTAATTTCCAAATTAATCATAAAATTCCATTATTCTTTCCTAATTTTTCTAACTTATTAAATATTTGTCTTATGAATACTACTATTATTTTATTCTCAAGTGAATAATTTGCATAGTGACTCGACGGAGAAACCGCTAATTTGTCCTTTTAAACTATGCTGCTGATGCTTCATATTGTTCTACATACAAAAACATTTATATCATGAAGAAAATATTTCAAACACATATAAAAAAATTAAATTAAAAAAATACCAATTTACATTATTTATGCTACTTTTTAAACATAATATATATTTATAACTTATTTATAAGCCACCTTTAGAGCAGTCATCTTTTTACATTGGTATTGATACATAAAAATAAATTATTCGATATACAACAATTTTTTTCATTTATTTTATAAATGAAATATGAAAATTATTGAAAATTTTCATTTGATATGGTATTTTTTAAAATGAGTGATAAATAAAAAGATTATCAAGTCTTTGTTTAAAAGATAAGAATATTCAATTAATAATTAAAAAAAAACAACATATAACTACTTTACTCAAGAAAATGAGAAATGAGAATCATATATACAATATATATATATATAATAGTTTTCATAGCAAAAAATTTGTGTACCTTAAATGACTTTAAAAATTTAAAATATTAAAAACTTCCTATTTTATTAAATAAGAATGTTATTTCTTAATTATATAAATATATATAGATATATGATATTTTTTTTTATTGCAAGAATTCATGAAGTAAATAATGAGACTAGTAATTTGTCTCTTCGGAGACATATGATAAAATTGGAACGATACAGAGAAGATTAGCATGACGAATGCGCAAGGATGACACGCATAAAGAAATAACGAGAGTAGTAATTTTGAATTTGGAAAAGCGATTATAGCAATTGATAATGTCACTCGTATGGAAACATCAAGTACAGACATGGGAATTGTAGACTTAAGAGGCGTGCATGACTCCACCTTTTTTTTTTTTTTTTTTTTT